ATAAGTACGCGTTGATCATCTGCCAAGCTACTCGATTTATCGCTAAAATTATATAGTTTAGCGGTACATCAGCCGAAATAACGACACGTATATGATTATCGTAGAATGTGTCGATTAGAGTGATAAACCGTCGCATGGGAGATTTCATACGTAATGTTAGCTGATGTATATCGTTTATGAGAACAGTATGAAATACTTGGACGAGTTGTAAATAATCATTGCCTGCTAACGGCTGGAAAATCTAAGAAATATGTTACATGTGGTCATCGAATTCTTTATGTACCAAGTATTCGATCACAAAGTTCTTTAATCGAACTGTTCAATATACGACCACAGGAACTTTTGAATTTAAGATTACGTCCGAAATGAGTTATAGAACGTGCTATAACAACATCGTTTTCCTGGGAGCATAATATTTTAAACATTCTCTCCATTTGCGCTTTTGTATCGGTCTCCGATTTACTGTAGAACGCAGAATTAAAATAGCTTCTATTTGTCCCTTTGCTGAACTAATCAAACTTACACAAACTAATTTGTTTGATTGGGCTATTTTTCTGTAATCTACGCCACTATCCATATTCGCCGCTTTGGAACGCTTAAGCAGTACACCAATAAATGGTAAAAAGTTGCTACGCTGCAATCCATCTTTGTAGAGATCCTTAGGATGACGATTACTTGTGGTTACGCAAACAATTCTCTCATTAAAGAGATGCGTAAATAAACTTTTCAAAATCATAGCAATATCAGTGACCTGGAACTCATCGAAGCATATTAGCCAACTTTCTTGCGCTATTGCCTTAGCAACTGGCAATGTCTGGTCAAAGGGTTAAGGATTTTTAACATCGGATATTCTAAGCGACGGTCCCTGTTATGAACGCGTTGAAGCGAACCCGATTTTCATGTTTAATCTGCATAATAAAGAGCAGGTTTTATAAGAACTTTTGTGAAAATAACCAGCATTTACGTCTGGAAAACAATCGAAAAACAAATCCATTAAAGTAGTCTTTCCTCCGCCCAGGTTACCAAAAATATATAGTCGCCATCAGTGCTTATTTTCAACAGTAAACAATTCCATGGGTGTCATATTAAATATGACAATCAATTGACATTCAATATGAATGTATCCTACTATGGTCTTTTCGAAATCATAATTGCTTTCAATTTGGTCCCACTTGTATTTAATTATACTATTTAGGTGACATGAGTGAAATTGAAGTCAGTTAGAACAACTATTTTATCGTGAAACTATTAACAGTGTTCTGAATAAATTCTAGATGTGCCATATGAACCGAAATATCAGATGTGGAAGGAATATGTGTACAAGTTACATATTCCGAAATACCCGTAATTGTAAATAAACTCGGCATTGGTAACGAAGGTAAATAAATAACGCAAGTAACGCATCGATATTTGCAGCGTAAGAAAAAAAAGTTTTGGCTTTTATAATGTAATCTACTACTAAAAACTGAATCCAATTAATTTAAATAAAAGGCAATGAGAAAATTAAAATTTTTTCCCTTTTTTTCTTCTCATGCTTTACGATATAAATGAACGGTCTCCTCAAATATTATTACCCTACTGCCCTTCTTTTCGACCAGAAAAAAATTGGAACATTATGTACTTTTTTAAAGTAGTACAATTGCTACATAGTTCGAAAACATATGCAAAGATCTAAATAAATACAATTGTAATAAAAAGCTTCAGGAAAATTTCCAAAAGTACGCCAATAATATCGTTTCATCGCTTGCTAATTTATATCGATCTTTATCGTATTATCTTCGCGTCTGCCCCTTCATCTTAATTATTAACGAATAAATTAAACGCGGTTTCATTAGATTAGAAATTTAATTAGATCAGAATGTACCTCTACGTGTTGCAAATGTTATATCGCAGCAGTTATACGATCAAAATAGAATTCACGAACGGGGTACTCGCATAAATTATGACCAAAATATTTCAATATTTAGACCTTTTCTCGGCCAAACTTTAGAAAATCTACTTTCAGATTGCTTCATGGTTTGCCGATTCCTGGGGTCCGGGCTACATAAAAACTAATATCTTCACCTTTTGTTTGGCCATCCGTTTATCAAGATATAAATACAACAAAGCAGGTTTTCAGCGCTTGCTAATATGGTTATGTTTCACAGAACATTTCTGTTTCCGTTAGCTGCTTTTGTTTCTAAGCACCGTTTATAAAAAAAAGTAGTATGTGTTGTGAATGAAGAGAGCACAGAGTTACTTTTAACAAGTAATAAATAAATAAGGAAATGGTGAATAAAAAATCTCTCTCACCTGTTAAATGGGACGAAGTAACAGATATGGCATGAGCATATCTGTTAAATGGGAAGAAGTGGTGCAAAAAAAAATCGTAGCAGCGGGATATATGTTTACTTTGATATGAAAATACAGAGGTCGGGTGCGCGAAAACAAAAAAAAAACAATGAAAGAAATAAGCTCATAACCAAACTCACGCAGTTTTAAACCTTCTTTTGTTCGCTTTAATTGTATATCCGGATCCGGACGATCCTATGGAGTGCTTAATGCCAATTAGAACGCTATACTCTACCATACCTAAAATTTCTGTATCTGTAACACAAGACTTCAGCCATGCTTGAGTGAATACTACTACTACTACTATGTGACACCCAATTCCATATGAATTTATAGAATTTATATTGAGACCACGCACGTTTTCATGCAAAAATAGACGGGCAGAGGGATAGACGGGCATGTTTAAGTCGTTTAACAATTTGGCCAACAAAATTACATATATTTGATTTCATAAAGTTCGCTTAAGAAGAAGACCAAATGTATCTAAGTGGTAGAGGGAAAGCGCCACAAACTAAATGCGCCGCTTGTCTTTTCCGCCAATCTTATTGGACAAAGATACGTTTTTATCTTAATTACTTTAAAGTAATTAAGTTAAACGTTTTTTATATACCCTACAACACTTGATGTAGGTTAAGCTTGCTCGACCGGTTGTGACATCTAGAAAAACTCATCTTATATTATATCTATCGATTCAGGAAATGATTCTGAATGTAAGCTTGCCTATCCGCCCGATCTCTGCACATGTCAACATATAGGTCGCAATTTTCAATATATTTCGATGAAATTTGCTGTGTTGAAGTGAGGCCCATGGCCCAAAAATGAACGCTATTGAAAATTTTTCGGATCGCACCGCTTTTTCGTTCCTTCCCAATATAATTCCTCATTTTGATAAGTTATTATAAAAAAAATATTGACATTTTCAGAATGTCGTACGGGGGTGTTGCAATTTTTTGAACCCTTTGCCGTATAAACTGAATCTTTACAAAATAAAATGTGCTAATTTTGAATACTTCTCTATGAAAATTCTTTCATAATAACAATTTGATATAAAAACGAATCGTATCGAATTTGGACCAAATAGGCCTATTTTTTGGATCCCAAGCCATATAAGGGTTCTAATCAAAAATAGGGTCTATATGCCTAAAACTGTTTATTTTTTGATGTTTTATGAAACAAATTTGACCTGAGTAAATTCGCCATAGGCAATTTGGATCACATTGGTTTATTTTTTAGGCTGCACCATATATAGAGGTCCTCATGGCGACAAAGACCAACTTTTTTCGAATTGTTATGACGGAAGGAACTGAAGAATAGTAAAATCTTTGAGAAGTAAATTAAGTTCTCCAAATTTAGACCAAGTTGACGTTTGTCTACCTCGCTACACGGGGGTTCATGAAGGTTGTGTGTTTACATAAAAATAATGTATAATAGTTGCATTGTTAATTAAGTGAAGGGATGTAGGGAATTATGTGGCCGGTCTTGGGGGACTATAGCATCTTTAATTTGCATCCTAGAGCGATATTGCACAC